AGATAAGAACATACTTTTTTTTTTTACAAACAGCAGGTAAAAAGCCACAAGGCAATCATGCAGTACTTTGTCTTTTGAGCAGTGACTTTTCATCCACATACATCAGAGAACAGACTCATATGAGAGAGTTATTCTAAAAAAACAGCCTTGAATCCAACCTGATATTGGTTGCAGAAAATATGCAGGTGAAATAAATCAAATCCTGACGTGCTCAGCAGCAGAAGTTTTTCTGATTTTCCAGGAAAGCTTTGAGGATGGTTCCTCAAACAGCCACCTACATTTAAATGTTATTATCTGTAAACTTTCTGGGTTGATAATGAGCTGATGTCATCACACAACTCTTGCAACATGACAGGAGTGCAGCTCCTCTGAATATTAGGACACTTTACTTCACTTGCTCACTTTACCTGGGGTTTGTGAGCATTTAGAAACTGTCTTTAATTTTTTAATAGATGCTGAGCGCTAGATCAAGTGGATGTGCTGAAGAGGTGTGGTGGATGAACTTTCCTCTCTTGAGATTTTGTTTGGCTTTGTTGTGGGCTTAGGTCTTCTAAAACCAGAAGGTTTTGTTTTTTTATCAAGTTCTCCCATGAATTTTAATCATCCAAGGACTACATAAGATTTTGGGATCTAAACCACAGGTTTCCATGGCATAAACGGTTGTAAATGTGGAGGGTCACACTCACTTTTGTCTACTTAATATGTTTTTTCTCTGAAAAACGTTTCTATTTTAATCTTGAAAACTACCAACACCCCGATAACACTGTCTGTCCCTAAGTACCCACCTGAGCCTTCTGAAATCAAATGTTTATTGAGGAACCAAGACATCTCATCGGGTGGAGTCTGGAGCAACCCACAGTCAGCCAAAGAAGATGGAGGTAACCACACAGGTGTCTGGAAACTTGTGCTGGAATAAGGATTGAAAGATAGCACCAACTTACTGCTCCGGCAGAGGGTAACAGGTGGATGGGCTTTGCAGTTACAGTGAGGAGGAGCATTGTTATGCAAGAAGGAATCCCATTATGGCTCAGAGACTCCTCATTCCTGTGAGAAAAAAAAATGAAGAAACATTTGATTCCATAGCAAGGAAAGAATATCCTTTAAAAGGTTTATAGCAAAATAAGAAACAATTGAAGTGCAAATAAAGATGCTCTCAGTTTCTGCCAGGAGAGAGGTTTAAAGATGCTTTTGGTCTTACCCAACATGGCGGCTCTTATTATGGTTCGTTAATTACTGTAATCTACGTGAGGAATTTATATTCCAGAACCACTCCCAGTGAACCAAGCTAGCTGACTTTCCCCTATTTTCATTTTCTACATAATTGCCACAGACAGGAAGAAAATAATGCTCCCTTCAACCTGTGTCTTTCTGCAACAAGTTATACATTAACAGCAATGTGTTTATTACTAGGAAGCGTCCTCTGCTCTAATCTGTACCTCAGGAGAAATCCTAGCTCAGGTTTTGTGGGAAATCATAGGCAAAGGTGGGTTTACTATAGTCATAGATAAATAATTGATGACGTTTCAAAAAAACACTACCCATACAATGAATGGTCTTGGGAAGTTATGAGTATTTCTAGGAAATCAAGGGAACGAAAGGCTAATACACACTTGGGGCCAAATCATGAGGTTTGAAAACATTTCTACCCATTTCTGTGGTGTGGATTGATAGCAAGTTTTATGTCTGCTTTAATATAAAATGCACAATGTTTCATGGAAATCATGAAATTCCGTAAACGTGGCTTTAACTATAAGCACTGAACTGAGCACTCTTAGGGAGGGATTTACTCATACACTATGGCCCCTGAATAGCACCAGGGAGAAAGCCTCAAAGGGAATATAAAAAGGTAAAGAAGTTGATTTTTCTTTTCTTCCATAGAGAGTCCAAACTTATCATTGCAGAACTTGGTATTCCCTTGTGGGTTAGCACTGTTTTACACTAGTGCAAAAAACAAGCAAGCAGAAATAATGGCTTGGAAGATCATGGATGGGTGACTAAGATTTGAGCATGCATGTTAAGGATAAGCATTCTGATTTCAGGAAAAGTGTTAAATGAGCACAGAAAGATGTAGTTCAGGTTTTGCTGACACTGAAGACTTGGAAACGGCAATAAAATCCTTACTATCAAAGCTTGAAAAAGACACTAAGTCAAGAAGAAATTGTGACTACTAATCAAGGCAGTTCAATAATATCAGTATGAGTAATGGAGACTAGAAAAGTGGCATGTCCTCCAGCCCCCCCCCCTTGAATTCAATATCATAAAGGCTAATTCATTAAATTATTTAAAATATCCGGAATTATCACTGGGGATGAAAATATAGGGTGAGCTTCTTCTCCGTGTTCTGTATGATCAGTAAAGCATTATGTTAAATTACCTCCCTGGAGTAATAAATATGTTGATGGGCAGCCATTAGGATAAAAACTCGGCGAGCTGCCTGGGTAGGTGTAAATCTGAAGTGAGCTCCGTGCCAGTAGAATGCGACTGCAGTTGTAACTGGCTTAGATTCCTGCACTCATGCTTCTGTGCTTGAGCCACCACACCGATGTTTCTTCTTAAATGTGATTTATTTTCAGCAGCTCTGCTGCGAAATTTTTCTAAGGAAGCTGTTTTAGAAGGAGTTAATGGCAAAGAAAAATTATTCCCTGTAAAGTTCTGTACAGGGACCGTTTACTCCCATTATTGGAATAAGCCGGGGCATTCTCCTGATATCAAACCAAAAGTGTTTACAATTGCTAAAAATCTGAGCTCTATTTCAATTATTATACCTTGGGTACATCACTATTAAAAGCAATTTTTCCACTGCACAGGGCATTCCATAAGTCCATGACAAGAGAAAGCACTTTTTGGCACACAGATATAAAAGCAATTTCTTCTGCAGCTGTACTGGCTTCAAAGCTTTACTTAAAAGCTGGAACCTTAAATTTCGCATTTATTTGAAATTTGATATTTATTTCACTTTCAGTCAATGGCTACTGCTGCAGCTAACAAAAGGGAGAATTAATGCAAAACCATGGGTTTAGTGATTAGCAAATATGGTTGCTGAATCCTGGAACATATACCGTGTTACTGTTAATTACCTTCCATGACATTTTTAAATCCGAAGCTATTCTTGGATGAGGTTTGTAGATAATTCCTTCGGAGAAAAAAAAGTACAGCTTCTTTCTGTATTGTCAGCCTCTAGGAGTGGACTGTGAGACTGATGAAAGTTACATTGATTGAATTTCTTTTCTGAAACGATGTTACGGAACTACCATCTCTACTCAAATGTTCACTTCAGTTGAGGAATTGCTGTAGTACATTCAGTTTAAGAACAATTAAAATGAGACAGACTCAGTATCAGTAGAACAGTTTTTGCACAGCCCTTCATGTCAGTTTTACAATATCAATTTTTAGCAGACTTCACTATTGGTATAAAATCATTCCTTCAAACTGATGAATCCTCAGGTATGTAGAGGTGTAATCAATTTCTCAGAAACAGAAAAGGCAAGGGGGAAGTAAGCTGTCGTGGTTTAACCCCAGCCAGCAGCTCAGCCCCGCGCAGCCGCTCGCTCACTCCCCCCGCTGGGATGGGGGGGAGAATCGGAAAAGTGAGAAAGCTCGTGGGTTGAGATAAGGCCATTTTCACAGATAAAGCCAAATCCGCGCGCAGAAGCAAAGCCAAGCAAAGCAGGGGATTCATCCCGCGGGGGCCAGGGGCAGGCCGGGGCTCAGCCCCCCCCAGGACAGCCGGGCTCCGTCCCGCGTCACGGTGAGCGGGGAAGGGAAACGCCGTCACTCCGAACGTCCCCCCCTTCCTCCTCCTTCTTGCCCCAGCTGTAGGTGCTGAGCAGGACGCCGTACGGGGTGGGACATCCCTGGGGGCAGTCGGGGGCAGCTGTCCCGGCTGGGTCCCCTCCCAACTCCTGGTGCCCCCCCAGCCCGCTCGCGCGTGGGGTGGGGTGGGGTGGGGTGGGGTGAGGAGCAGAACAGGCCTTGAGGCGACTGTGTGAGCGCGGCACAACCAAAGCATCCCTCTGTTATCAGCGCTGTCGCCAGCACAAATCCACAACCCGGCCCCGCGCCGCCCCCCGGGAAGACAATTCACTCTTTTCCCAGCCAAAAGCAGCACATACGCTAACAAGTGTCCAACCTGGATCCAAAGTGCCAGCTGGAAACAAAGGAGTTATCAGTTCCCAGCACTCCTCTTACCAAGCTTTCATTTGCACCATGGATCAGTCTCAGAGCATGCCATCTGGTGTGGTTTTCATTTTTTTTTTTTTTTTTAATGAATGAGGGAAACTAAAGGGGTACACTCTAACTGGTAGTGGGTGTTCAGCCTGTGGGCCTAGCCTGGAGCTAGTCCAAAATCCATGAGCTCAGCACCAGCTGTTTTGCTCTGCAGATCTGCTCCTGTTGCCCCGTCCTTCCTGCCAGCACAGAGACTGACAAAATGCCACCTGTACTTGGCGCTTACTGCTTGAAAAAGCATTTTGTTCCCTTCTGGGTATCCTGGTGCTGAGCATGCCCCTTCATTTCCCCCCCCAATTCTGAGAAACAATCACAACTTTGCACAAGTACCTGTTGCAATCAGGTTGCTTTTTGCTTGAGCAACTAGTCAGCTTGACTATTCAGGAGGTTACAGGCGCAAGAGGCAGTTCCCCAAAAGCCTCTAATTTTCTGTGAAAGTTTAGTGAACAAATCTGTCAAGCCTTCAGCCACATTTTTCTGTGTTTTTGTTTCCACTTCTGCCTACCCTTGCCACTGCTGGGGTTGAAATCTCTGCCAAACCTCCCAGGTTAGCACATTTCCCTCTTTGTACCATCCCAGTTAGAAAATGTTGTCGCATGGCAACACAATGCAAAGCATTCATTTAGCTACACAGAACGCTCTAGCTAAAGGCCATTTCAGCCACACACGGATTCATTTTTGTGGAGAAGAGAGAAAGAAAGGGAAAACACTCACAGATCCCAGAACCCTTCTTTATTCGGAAGAATGGCTTTTAAATGAAGTCAAGCAGTATCTCGTTTTATCATTCATTTATTTAGCAAAGAAAGGAATGAATTCAAATACCCCACACAATGAACACATATCTATTCCCTGATATCAAGATGCAGATTTGCTTGTGAACAACTTCAGATGGATCTGTTTTCTTACTACTGAATTCATCTTGTACCGTGCATGGATTTGTGCAGAAGCAATATATTTTGGGCTCGATCCTGTAAACACATTAAAATAAGTAATTTGTTACATCCATACCACTGAACTTGGTGATGAGTACAATCATTCTCAGGAGCCTAGCTTTTCCAATCTAAATTTAGGCGTCCGAATGACAGTGAAAATTAGAAGCGTATCTCTCTAGGCTCACTGTAGAGCTGGTGGAGGGACACAAGCCCTCGCAAGGACGTAACTGCCCACCGAGGGATGTTCTTCCAGACAGGACACAGAGGGTGCTGGTGGCAGCTACAACCAGAAATTGGTCAGATGCCTCAAGCAGAGCAAGACAAGCTTGGACCGAACTGTTTACAGCACTGATCTCATACAGCAAAGCCATTACGCATACAATTAACATTAGGAATGTGCTTATGTTGCGCTGATTTTAATAAAGCTGGTCCCACATTTAAAGGAGTGAATATATTCATTCTGTAATAGTGAAAAAAATATATTGAAGCATTTATTCCGGTTAACATTTTTGTTGCATCTGGGACCTCTTACTTTCTTTTCTGGTTTGAGCAGCCATATGGTCTGATGCTCTGAGAACTTTCTTCTCTTAACGTAAGTGCTTTGGTAGCTCTTGATTTGTACATTGATGGGGTATTTTCCCAGAGGTTACTGTGGAGCTCTGGTAGAGCTAACTAAATGCAGAGTGTCCTACACCCATCTGAGACTTTAATCAGCACTGCTTAATAGCCTGGAAATCAAAGCCATTTAAGTCCCATTCTTTCTTTTACTCTCTTATGAAAATCCTAATTCTAGTCAAAAATCTCTTGATTAGTTTTAGCCAAACCATGCTGCTCCAACAGCAGGTGAGCAAACGGCTGGAAAAGCTTCCATGTAAAGTAACTTTAAATGACCATAAAGGTCATAAAACGCAAATCAAAGTACAAGATACATCTGCAAGCACAGGAGTCCATTTTCTAAGCAACTGAGGAATGTACGCTATGCATCAGACACAAAAATAAGCCCAAAATTTGTACTCAAGCACAATTCTACTTTGAGTTATCCAATGAAAGTATATACTGCACAGGATCCATCTGGCGATCCTGCTTCCTCCTCACTCCATGTAGCAGGGCTACCCAGAATCAGCTCTACTCAGAGAATTTTTATCTATCTGTTGAAAAGTTTGCTTTCAAAATAGAGAAACATTTTTAAATTTATGCAGTCAGTGCAAAAGTGGTTTAGTAATATTAACGATTGGCATCAGAGTTAATACAATTCTCTATCCAGAAAAGATCACTTTATTCAAGCAAAAGGGGTATTATAAGCATGGCATTTAATGGGCAAGGGAATTGTTTCTCCCTTTCCAAGAACAGAACAGTGCCGTAAGAAATAAATTTTACCCTTGTGAAAATTTGAGAGCTCTGTCAGCTTAAACAAGATTTGCAGGCAAATGCCCACTTTTTTACATTTTTGGCAAAAGAGAAAGTAGACCTTTCATGGAGAAATCTGCTTTTCACCAACAGGTGTGTAGCCTATTTTAGAAAGAATGCTAAATAAATTGAAAATTAATAGACTGCACCTTGCCTTGCTCCATGTATTAGGAAAGGCTGTATGAAGCTACCTGGGCAGCTGTGTAGAACTCAAGGTGAAAATACTGATATAGGTGGTGCATCTGGGGACCTCTAAAATTACTGAAGACACAAATATCTAATGGATTTATAACCTGTTGTCTCAGCTTGACAAGGAGATCTTGCCATCAATTTCTTCTCATTGAAGTGCTGTGAAACGTCCATGTTCACCTGACTGATTTAGATGAAGGTTTGAATATACCTCTGCCTGCAGTTAAGAATGATGTAATTTAAGAAGCTAAAAACCAAAAATAACCCCCCAAATGTTTAAAAGGAACACCTTGCTGCCAAGTTGGCCTGGTGTTTAAATGACATCATTGAGTTGCTCAAAGATCTGGAACACCTGAAATATTCCTTTGGGAGATGCAAGTGTGAGCAGACTGAGCATCTGCTAAATGCACTTTCACCTAAAATCACGCAGACTTAACCTAGGGTATTACTACCGCAGATATAACACGTATCTAACATATGTATTTATCCATGAAAAGAATGGAAAATAGATCACTGAAGATATGCGTGCCTCAAACTACTGAAGAGGTTTTTTTTTTAAAAAAAGCTGATTTCAGATAATTTTAATTGAAAAAGGTTAAAATAAAAATACATAGTTCAAATATTTTAAAGATATTGGTCTCATAACTAATAGTCTAAATATAAAATCCTTAAGTCAGACTAATGTATTCTTATTACAGAGGAACAGTGTTGCGCATAGGTGTGTATGTGCATGTGCTGCTTTTTCTTGGCAGTGGGAGCAATAGACATTTTATTTTATTTATCTTATTTAAAAGTAAAATTTTATCTTTTAGCATGAACACAGTGATTCAGATATGGGACTAGTTACGATCTGGAAAGCTTTCCCCTCCTCTATCTGTTTCACTGAATTTTCTTGCAGAGAAAATCTCCTCTTACCCAGGGCAATCAGCTAATTTCTTCCTGGAAAACCAAATCTAGTGTACGTTAAAAAAAAAATATCACAAATTACAGGGAACCAGTCTTATTATACTTTCTGGAGATGAACTGGTGCGAGGGTGGGGGTGTTTTCTTTTGACTGTGTTGGTAACAGGGAAAACTATTCAGCTGGAAAAAACAGGCAGCTGATGTTAAATATTTCCATAGATGGTAAACGTGCATTCATTTTACTGCACAGCTTTTCAAAGACCACTTGCTTTCCATTTTTTCACTTTACCGCAGAGGAGAGGTAGTAAGCCCAGTGCGACGCCCAGATCTGCCCCCGTTCAGAACTGCCCACTGCTCTCACTGGATACACTGGTCACCCTTGCCGTGTCAGTGGCCCGACCACCACAGCGGTGCTCAAAGCAGTCTGACACGATCACTGTTTCTTGGTACTTTTTGCCTTTTTTTTGTACATAGTTGTGAATCATTACACTCTGTACATGTTTTTCTCTATTTCCCTATCATAGCGTAACCTAATGATCAAGGTCTCTAAACACAGCGTGGCAGAATTCCCACTCTGCTTCTCCTTACTTACCTTCCCGCTATTCTGGCGCGATGCTTTCTGTGTCTAGCATGCTCAAAAAACTGAAAGCTCAATTCTTCAAACCTTAGTATCCACTTGTAATTTCTTTTCACAAGCTTCTGAGAACAGCAAATGCTGCCTTACTACTAAGTACTCTGGAAAATCTGGCTCAGATCCCTGCCCTTTTATTTCTAGTTATACATCTGGAATTTCAGATACAAAAATAACAATGTCATGAATGTGGGTGAAGACAGACAGAACAAAGAAAAACGGTATAAAAATTCTTTGTGTTTCCTCAACTGCCACTACAAAAAGAATTAAAACTGATAACTTAAAACTCAAACAGCATTCTAAATATTTACACCAATGAAGTTCAACAAGAGAATCACTTAAAACGCGGGAAGATTGTTCCTCTAGGGGCTGACCAGCGTGGGTCGGACACAGCAGCGAGACCAGGCAACGCTGTGCAAATCCGTCCGCGTTTTCGCGAGCCAGCTTCGCTTGTCAGACGCGCGCACGTAAAGCAAAAGCCGGGAAGAGAAGAGCAGACCCGTGGCGATGCCTACGTGCCCCCCCAGGAGCCCGAGGTGGCAGACGGCCCGCCGGGCAGGCGTAGCTTCCCGTGGGCAGCCTGGCGGCGGGTGCTGCGGCGGGGAGGCGAGGGGGCTGCCGCGGCTCGTGCAAACCCGCACGCTGCAGCAAGGCTGGCTTAAAAACGGCACACAGAGAAACCTTCCCGTGTGCCTCCCACACCCGCCTTCCTCCCTCAGCCTCCCCGTGGGACGTGCCCTTCCACACCCTCCCAAAGATGAAACCAAGCTGGGCAAAGGCTTTATGCGATGGGGCTCGGCTCGCAACTGGACGCCACTGACCCGGTAGCTGTCTGGGTTGATTACAAGGTTGTATCCCTCGGTACGGGCTTCGTCTCTGCACTCTGAGCAGCTGAGCTGCAGCCGGAGTGATTTACAGCCCGGGAAGATCAGCCCCACAGAGCCCAGAGCCGCCGCAGAGCATCGCTAAACCACCGCGCTGCTTCTTGTCATTGCTCCCAGCACCCTGCAAGGTCTTGGTGGTGGTGAGAGCCCCGGGAGGGTGCCCAGAGGGCTCCGCAGCTAACAGCAGAGCTCCCTCCTCAAATCTCACAGAAATAAAAGGCAATGCCTAAATAGAAATCAGATTTGCGCTCCTGGAGCAGCTTTAAGTGATAACATAATTATTATTATTATTATTATTATTATTATTTTAAAGCTCAGGAATTACTTAGACACTTGTTAGAGAAATCTGACTGAAGTTTATGGAACAGTGATGCGATGCAATCCTCGTGAGTGGTCCAGCAGCACTGAGGGGCTGTAGCTGCACCCGACGGGGAAGGCCAACCTCGCACTCTGTAAAGAAAACAGCATTCACAAACAGGTGGTGTGGGCTTTCGGCAGCAATGGGACAGCAATGGCTTGGATCGTGCTTGAAATGTCTCTGAACTTCACCTCTGAAGTCTCAATCACATGAGCAGTCAAGTAGCACAGGCCTTGGGGACTGGGGAGTTACAAGAGGCCAGGAAATACACAAGCCCATTAGTACTCATCATAATGGTTGAAATCTGTGAAATAGGTATTAGAATAAGTCTTTGCAGTGAGATGTGGATTGAAGTATTTGTTTCTCTCTTCCAGAATCAGGTTGTTTTTGTTAAATGCCTGGGGGGGGAAAAACAAAAAAAAATAAGAAAGAGGTAAGAAAATGGGAATGACAGAAGAAAGGTGTCCTTCCACCAAGGCTCTTTCACCAAGGCAATTTTTGTGGCAAATATCTGTGTATAGTCAGTCAGTTTAAAATGCACTGAGAAATACCTGCATATTTACAAAAGCTTGCATTTTCATCTATATGCTCACATAATAGCATCCCTACAAAAAGCAATGCTACTCAATAAAGTAGACCCAGGTACTTTTCCCCCAATATTATAAAACTAATTCTATGATTAGAATTACTTTTTAACCATACATATTCAGTTCTTCCCATCAGACTGATTCACTCATTATCTTTTTTTTTTCCTGAATAAGAGTTATTTAATCATTATTGCATTAATTCCTTGATTTTCAAATGCAATAGGAGTAGGAGAAACGTCTGAAGGTCTTAAGAGTATAAATCCTGTTTTTTAAAAAGTGATATAGGTATTCAGAGTATGAATTTTCAAAGGTTTTTTTTTCTTTCTGTATCTATCCAGAGAGATGATTAGTGGGATTCAGAAAAGCTTTAAATTAGGTACGTATTCCACCACTGATTACAAATTCTCCACTTTTCTTGCAACTTTTAATGGAATTCTTTAAAATGTCTTTAACTAGAAAGAAAAATGCAGAAATTAAAAACTGGATTATCCAGTTAGGATTTAAGAAAAATCCTCATTTACAAAAAGCTTTGCAGCTGCATAAATAAACTGTGTAATCTGACGATACTGAACTAGGTGTTTTCAGAATGCTCATCCTTCCTTAATTCAGTGGATCTGAAGAGCAGAGCTATTCTAAAAGGTCATAAGAAGAAAATAGCTGTTTGGGAACAATGATCATATGATATAGATACATGCCAGACTCTCGGCTAATGTAAATCTGTACTGATCATTTACAGAATATTTTGGGTATGAACACTAGCTAAGAGTCTGACCCAGAATATATTCACCAGATACCTCTCCTGTACGGCGACATAGTGGAGGAAGATGAACATTGCCCTTGACACCATATCATTGGAGCCAAAGGATTATCTTGGATATGTGTCATAGTGACTGTTAATGGCCCTATTTACTTCTTGAACAAGCCACGAGGGAACACAATTAGGGAAAAAACCTCACAAAACAAAACCTGAGTGGTCTGTTTTTCTCCAGGAAAGGCTGTTGCTGTCTAGATTATAAAACCACACAAAACCTAACTTCCTGTGTAATAGGGGTTGGCAAAGGAAAGGATTTGTAATTACAATATCTCAAGTGGAATCTATTTTTGTCATTAACAACCAGTGCAATCTGAGTCCAGAAGCCACTGCAGAAAACTAGCAGGTAGAATTCTTTTGATACAGCAGAACTGTTGTCTCGAAGCACGTCTGTTGTGCAGTATAGAGCTCCCAACCCACCGCTCACCTTGATGGCTTCTACAGAATCGTATTTGTCCAGTTTGTTGATATGGTTAGTAATGCTGGTATTGAGAGGAGCTGGTGACACCGGGTGGATGACAGTCGCATCATGGGACTGTTGTTGATATCGTTGGCAATAAGTGTAAACAAGCAGGGTAAGAAGGCAACCAAGGATTGAGCTACTTAATCCCACTGCAATCATGTGAAACATGTTGAACTCTGCGGAGTGGAGACCAGAAGACAATCTTATTTTTAAGGGAATAGCAATAAAAGCTTAAGCTTGGGGGAAAATGTAGACAAGTGCTTGATTCAAATAAGGATAAAGGAAACGTCACGTGTTTCCCAGAAACATCTCAATTGCAATGGCTTATCCCTACGACAGCAAAATGTGTTGCACTTCCCTGAAGGGATCATTATAAGAATCTTAGATACCAATACATCTCTGCAAGTATTAAGACAGATTTTTGAAAGATGCTTAAATAAGTTCAGAATCCAAATAACAGCTGAATGAATTGCATTTAGTATGTTTGAATAGTTCAGCAAAGTTTTTTTTCAGGCTGCATAACAAAGCCTTGTTATATATAAATTATGTAGACAATGTACATACGTAGCCTTTTTTCAGCATCACCTCCTCTGCTCTTCTTCTAGTTCTTTCTCTTACACATAATGAATTGTGGCAGGACTAACAAAATACTGATATCTTTGAATCACACTCCTGATTTCCCTAAAACGTTTTCTGTATCCCCTTTATTCAGTGCACATCCCAGAAGCAGTGGTGTGCATTTTTTCCATCCGTTGCTTTGATTCTTGCTAGGCCTCACTGTTTCTGTATCCTTGATATATGGCAAATTGGTTGCCTTCTCCAGCCTTCAAATTATTTTTTTTTTTTTTTTTTTTTTTTATTTATAAGGGGGGGTGAGGAAGAAATGGTAGCATTTTAGGGGGAAATGGGAAGGGGAGAGAGACACTCCTTAAAGCTCAGTGTGCTTTTAACCATAGCTCCCAGAGAGTGCAAAGTCGACAGCTCGGAACCCAGCACTCTCCTATCTGCTCTGCCCCCAAAGACGCTTTGGGATCAGGTGATGGGAACCCCCCCCACCTACCCGAGGCTTAAAACTGAGAGGAAGCTCATTGCTGCATGAAACTGCAGAAGTGAATCTAAAGCACAATCATCCCCTGAGGTTACTGAACAGAGATATCAGATCATACGTGGCACCAGTAGGATTAGCTCAAAATAAACAAATTACACTGTTTTTCATGTTATTTCAAACTAGAGCTGTGTTTTTTTGATTAGGAAAGAAGTATCAGTGAGAAGCTCCTGCCGGAAATTTCATCTTAACATCACTGAAAATTTGTTTGTGGTTGCCTAAATGCACAAATGAAAGATTTTAAACTAAAAGACTGGCACTAGTCTGAAAAACATCTGTTAGGCATTTTCCACTGTATTAGAGAAAAATGGGCCAGCACGTGGGTCCCGTTTTTTGCAGATGCCTAAGGTAGGACCTTTATATGCCTGTTGGGTATTTAGAATCACACAAACTAATACTTAGATGACCAGGTTGACTGCCCCCATATATAAATTACCACTGAAATATCCTTCTACACTTGTATAAGAGTGTCCCACTGTTGTAGAACTTGGCAAAATGTTTTCAGAGTACCACTGCTAATTAGAAAAAATTAAATCACAGTATCCTGGCTCCCACAACAAGTTACCATGCACACTGGTAGCCTTGCATAACCCCTGTGTTTTCACTGTCCCTTAGTAGGTTAAAAATGCAACTCATCTGTGCATGGAAGAATACTAGAACTGGGCAGAGCTATTACCATGACGACACAGTCTAAGCGTGATCACTCAGCACAAAAAAAAAAATGGTCATTTTCCCTTCTTATTATTATTGCTATTGTTCTGGGGGTTTCTAACAGTTTTCTCTTTCAAGATTTGTTTTGCTAGCATCAGGACTCTCTGGAATTAATCTTTTTTTTTTTTTTTTAATTTTTAGCTTTGTCTTTGGCAGCGATGCTGAATATGAGTCCCAGATACTGTCTGAGCTATTAAATGGGGTAGAAGGCTGGCATTCTGCTATTTACTTGGAGTCCCCAAGAGGTTTATGAAATTATTATCCTGAAAAAGGTGAAGCAACTTTACAAATTTTGACCTACTGATAACGAGTTTATAATATGAATTTCTTTTTGAGACGAGAGTGACTGCCATGCTGAAAAAGAAGAAAATACAAACATCCAGTAATACATGTTCTTGTCTCAAAGGTCAACAATGGCAGATGGATATTTAATGAGAAATCCTGTAGTAACTACGTCTCTTTTTCTGTACAAGTGTAAATAATGAGAATGCGGCATTTAGAAGATAGAATAAAACTAAGAGAGTGCAAAAGGTGAAACCAAAGCAAAAAAAACATGGAATCAATATTTCAGCATTAAATACACATCTAGAGCTGAAAAGCTTACCGCCACATCGTTTTTCTTCTATGCTGCTGGATCGTGCCACTGATATTTCTAGAAAAATGAATAAACAAACCGTTTATGCCAAGGAGAAAAAAATATTACAGAGAACTATTAGTTTGATTAACACAGGAAGGATTTAAAAATTCATTCTACTACATTCAATGCAAATCCAAAGTAAAAAATATTTTGACTATGTGATAGAATTAACAGAAAGGTTCCATGACAGCTTCAGGTTCCTTAGTTTCCCAAGCAAGAGCAGCAATGTATTTTTAATTCTTGCCTCAAAACATCTCTGGCATTAAAAAGATGAAGTGCACATGAAAAGCTTCTTTGTGGAGTTTAAACATGTTGCAAAAGCACTGATTTTTCTGAATAGTAAAATTAATGAGAGTTTAATTATCTTGTGTTCAGAAGGGCTTATTACTTCTACCAGCACCAACGTGGAAAGAGGGAATTTACAAATCTTCAGAAAAGATGACTGCCAATTTCATGGGTCTCAGTTGTAAACTAATGAAATGTAATTCTAGCCCGTATCCTTACTATTTGGACTTTGGAAACATTTTCAATAAATATTGAATAAAATCTGTTGGCAATCAAGTTTTCTCACTCTACTTCAGGACCATGGCTCCTGTGAAGGGAAGTCCTGCCTTACAAATCTCTTGAACCTCTCCGAAAAGGTCAGCAATCGTGTGGAGGTGGGTGGGGTAACTGACACAATCTATGTGGATTTCAAAAAAGCTTTTAAGTTTTTCTTTGTCAAAGACTTTCCAAGCAATGGATGAGATGAGGGAAAAGACAGAATACAGGCTAGCATTATTTTCCCAGTTCCTACAATGGAGGAAGGTTACCACCTCTGCAGGGACCTAGGCTTTTCAGCAGAGCTAGGAAAGCAGGAGAAGAAGGTGGGTTTGAAATTTACTGATGATGCAAATTTAAGGTAACATGGACAAGGGCATGCTGTGAAGAGCTGCAAGAGGGCCTTACAAAACTAGGCAATAAAACAACCAGTGAAACAGAATGTAGATTGAAGTGGTACATGCAGAGGAAAGCAATCCTAGCTTCACATGTAAAACGGGCTGTGAGATGACCATTACTGGTCATGAGTGAGACTGGCAGGTTATGACAAATTGTTCCATGAAAATATCAGCTCAGTGTTCAGAATCAATCAAAAAGGCAAACCGAAATGCTAGGTACTACCAAGAAAGCAATAGGGAATAGGACAGGCTATCAGCATTATGGCACTTTACAAATCTGTGTGCTGTCCATACCATCAACACTGCGTGCAGCTCTGGATTTCCCATCCAAGGACGCCTCTGGAAGAACTAAGGATCAGACCAGAGAAGGGCTGCAATAATAGCCACAGGTACGCAATAGCTTCTGCATGAGGAATTAACAGAGTAGGGTCTCCACTTCACTGCTGAAAGATGAGCCATATGCAGCTGCTGCTAAAGGGATCACAGGTTTTTTTACCTTTCCTCACATGCTAAATCAATACTAACTGTTTTCAAAACGAGAAACTACCAGACCTGACAGAACAGCACTCTCACAGCGTTAAAGGCTTGAGAGCACACTTGATCCGGTTGAGACCGCTGATTCACAATCCAAACAAAAAGAAGAACAAAGGGTACCAGGAAACCATGAAGCTCTGCAAGGTGGAAACACAGCAGCAGCAATGATGAGAAGGAGTAACTTTTGCACTCTGTCAGAATCGCTCTATAGGCTAAGTTCTGCAGAGGAACAGAGCTAAGGTAAGAAGGAGGAGACAGCATGAGGACGGCCACGCCAGCAGGCTGGCTGAGGAAAGGAAGGAGGCGAATTAGGAGAGAGAGGTTGGGTGGGAGGGAGGGGGAGAACCCGGAGTTGGAGGACCTGGAGGAGTGAAAGCAAGATGAGCGATCCTAAGAAAGCAAGCTAGTTTGCCTAAGGTGAGCGTAATGGGCATGACCTTATCTGCTGTGCTACGGGTAACCTGAGGAGTAGCAAACCAACCAGAAGGGTGAGAGGAGAGGTGGCTCATGTCAGGTTCCGAGAATGCCTACTTTCCAAAACAAGATGTAGAGCTTATAATGGATTAGGCAGTGGAGTCACAGAATGTGAATATTAACCGAGCTGCTTCAAAAGCCTGAGGAAAAGGGAAAAATACAATGTGGGAGGTTTTGCTTTCACACCGACATCTTTCACATTGGTTTCGGAGGAAAAAACAGTATTTGGGAGTTAAAGTATTATGCACCATCCATAAAAAAGTGTTTAAATTTGTTGATTTCTTTGTTATGCTGTACTATATTGTACCACACAGTCACAGAAAAAAAAGGTTGCTGCACGGAGTAAACATAACAACATTTAAAATGATACATTAATATGTAAATTTCTCTGTCTGTGAATATACCACTAGCTCTTTTTAATGTACACAGGCAGAAAGACGACCGTTAACAGTAATGCAGTGTGTCTACATACTCTTGTGTGGATTTAAATTACTGCTGTGATTTAAAAAAAAAAAAAAAAAAAAGAGTACAGTCGTGAGTTTCAACAAATGCTATAGAATAATACGCAACATGACTATCCATCGGGTACTTAGTGGTCATGGGGGAGATAAGGACCTGAGGCACGGTTAATTGTATTTACCCTTCTAAGCAGTTATTAATTTAATGGACTCAGGGAAATAATTGCCAGATTAGCTACCACAGCACCCACTTCTGTACACGCAAATCCCAAACCTGGGGGAATGTTTCTCTAATAACCCCGAAGTCTCAAAACCCCTTAATCAAAGTAAAAAGCAAACCAGTTCTCCTGGCTGTCCGTTGCCCCGCTACCCAGTAGGAAGGGAGGGACCTGCAGAACGCTGAGGCAGTGCCTGCCCAAAGTCCCAGGCAGTGACAGCAGGGAGAGCCCCACAGCACTTGGTGCCGTGAGGCGCATTTCCACAGGGACACGCGGTCGAGCAGCATCGGCTTCACGCGGCAGACCAGCACGCTTTGCCCGACAAAAGGCAAGTTCTGCTCCAGCTCTCAGCTCTGCACCGTGCAGCCCGCGACGGGGCTACGCCTCGCTCCTGAAACGGTGAGGGATTTCACTCACCCTTTCAAGGAGCAGGCTGATCTCACCTGGGATGAAGTTGGAGTCCAGCGCGCAGGCCCGGCTCTCCGTGGCGTTGCCCGTGCACTGGCTGCCCACGGGAAACAAAAGGATGCACTGACGAACGCGGAGCTGGGAGCCGGACGAGTCGCAGGAGGACCACTCAGACCACTCGGACCAGCTGTCTGCAACGGGCAGAAAAGGGCGCACACGCAGGCACTGCAGTTAAATGCTTCAAGCACACCGAGTGAGAGAGAAACAAAGAGCCTGTACTTCTGAAAGATGGCAGGCGGCCTCGGCCCCAGCTGCCACAAACTAGCAGAGGACATCTTTAAAACGAAAGAGGACAACCGATGTATTTTGCGGATACGGGTTACTTTCTTTTAAGCAGATACTTGCATACTTTCAGTTGGATTTGCCATTAACCCTCCATATCCTCAAGAAATCCTTAGGGTCAGGATTCCAGAAATTTTAATTTTCTGTTAGCTTTGTTCGTCCAAAAAAAAAAAAAAAAAAGTACTATTTCAAATGTCAAGAAATCTTTGCTCTTTTCACAACTTAAGAAATGTTATAAGTAATTTCCATTTTTGCATATGAATTTCTGTGTTGGTTGGTTGTTCTTAGATTCCAGGTGTCACTACTACTCCCTTCCTACACTAAACATGTCACTCAAGCAGCGAATGTCACCAATGGCACAGATCTGCACAAGGAAGAACCACTGGCCATCTGATCCTCACCACAAGAAAATGGCTCTGCAGGGATGAAGGAGTCTGACCAAACTTGACATGTGTAGCACTGCAGCTATTTTTGTCCCATACAAATGTGAAATAACAGCAGTAAAAAAAAGTTTTGAAAGCTACATTGTAAACACGAGGCAAGGGCCATTCTCACAGCTAGCTGATGGTGTGCTGTTTCAAAAAGGCATGGCAAATTTTCAGTGAGACTGAAATATTAATAAAACATCACAGAATGTGAGAAATTTTATTGCTTTGTAAATGTTTTCACTTTCTTGAGCAAAAGTGAAACCAACCCCCTCCTCCTCTACTCCCCACCTACTCCAAAATTTAAGTAACAAGCAGACCAAAATAAGATGAAGAGGTTACTTATAATTGTTTGTGAACTGTCATTTCTAGAAAAATGGCAGAAGAAAATAAATGCACAACAAGAGAAATAGCTACAATACTAGCACAATGAATGCACCGGTTCTGACCTTTAAAGATGCCTTAAGGATCCAAAAGCAGCTATGTAACTTCTACATACAAATGTACACTATTTGTCTTGAAAAATCAAATCATTAACTGATTTCTATGTTTGGGATTTTTTTAAAAACACAATGCAGAGTGATGCATCTGCTTTAATTTTGACAAAGTAGGTGATTTTATTCTGCTGCAAGACATGTGGTGCCTAGAAAGGGAAATTAACTTAAATTGTAGTTCAGCACAGGTAATAGGATCCATACATTCAAACTCATGGAACGTTTGTTTACACGTGCACAGCCTCATCACATGAGCAGAAAACTTTTGTTATGAAGTCTAGGAGCTCTAAGTGAAGCCAGTAATACAATATGACATCAGAGCTGCTTATTTCCTTTTGCTGTTGCCTGTAGTCCATTAATCAACAATAAATGAAAACAAATTTTCCCACTGGCTTTTCACTAATTATTTTATCTGGTTTTATGCAGTTTTACACCCTGCTTCTCACTTAAAAAAAAAATAGTTTCTTTTAATATGAGTCAAAAGGCAGAGTCAAAATTACCGAAAAGGTCACGATCCAGAACATCATACATCATACACCTAGCAGGAATGCTGAGACATTTCATTTACTAAGTATCCCACAGCCATTTGAAATGATGAAGTGTCTGCTCCTTAATGCTCCTTAACATCCGAAGCTGAAGATGTTATTTACAAAGAGCATTAAGATTTGCTCTGTGCTTTATATGAAAACAGGGCAAACATTACCTAGGTGAAGGACCCTGTGATAACACATGTGGAGTGTTAACCTCAACAATGTGCCTTCTGTGAATGTTTAGTGTTATAACAAACGCACTTCTTGGAGATCTTGTTATTAAAAGTCTTCCATGCTTTCTGCATCACCCGCTTCAAATATCATACAATTTCAGTTTATCTAGACCTGGAATCTGATAAATCAAATTTTAATTTTTAAAGGGGGAGGGAGGAGCTAGTGTCCTGTAGGCTAGATCCTGCTATTACTTGACTTACTAGGATTGTAGCACGTAAGAGCCGATTGTGCACTTAACAAGGGAGATAAATGATTTCCTCCCAAATAACGGATGAAGGAGCATGCTGTTGCCTAACTGCGACCGCCTTATTCTGTGGGACAGAAACAACACGGCTGCGTGCGCCGATCTGCCATACCTGGGCACGGCTGTGTGTTGCAGAGCGCTTCCTCGGTGTGCAGCCCGAGGCAGATATCTCCTCCGTACGCTGGTGCTGGGTTTGTGCAGGAGCGGGTCCTCATGTAATGCCCTCCTCCACAAGTTGCCGAGCACTTCGACCAAGATGACCAGCAGGACCAGCCTCCATCCACTGAAAGGACACAAAATGCCATCTTGTTCCACGTTAATGTGTGACGTGACGTGATGCAACCCATCTTTCTCACGTTCCATGGATCTAATTCATGGCCTACTGAAATTATTGGACATTTCTAGGTACCACTGAACACAGGCCCACAAATTTAATCTTACCACAGTGCAACGTAATTTACATATTTTAAAAGCCCCTGGTATACTGGGAAGCCTAACCAAGTCAATCATCCACACAAGGCACTTTCAGTGGGTACCATAATATCTTTAAGGCCAAAACTCTTTGCTGTTTCTTTTTCTTTTATTTCTCACTTGTGAGGAAATAAAATACCAAAGCTTGTTTAGCAGAAGTATTATAAGCTCAAAGTAATTTTTTATTCATAAAATAAAACTTAGCCCAATAATATCAACAGAGAGATGGAGGAATCGAGATTTTGTTTCACAACCCAAATGAGATTGCTTTGACCTTAAAACCCACTTCAATTGATCTAACACAGTTGTAGGGTTTGATGGGCCAATATAATCTTACAATCTTGACGCAGCTCTAGCACAGATGCCAGCAGCAGGACAAGAGCAGTAGTTCAAAAAAGCAACAGACGAGTGACAAAAAGAAGTTGCCAATCTAAGTTTCAAACACAGGTTGCTGAAGAATAATCCCCAAGCCCCCACCCCCCGCCATTAGTATTTCCTAATTCAAGCCCGTCAGCCTGTTCTCCAGCCCGAGTTTTCACAAGGTTCCTCCGAACCATGGGCCGGGTTTCGCAGGAGCCCCGTTTGCCGGACGGCTTTCAACACGCGGCCACTGGACCGGCTCCCAACGCGTGGTCACCTCGCTGCCCGCACTGCGCCGGCTCCTCCGCACCCTCGGCTCTTCACGCCGCTGCCCCGGGCCGTGTTTCTGGCATTTATGGCCATAGTGCAGCCCAGCTGCCAACGGCTTCCTATCTGCAGCCACGTGGCAAGAAGTCAGAGGTACTTCTCCCGGGGACAGCATTCCCTCTGCAAAGAACCTCAGTATTTTGTTCATTTGTCTTTTTTTTTTTTTTTTTTTCTTTGGGGCGGGGGGGGGAGAGGGAGGGAGGGGGTTGGGGGGGAAGCAACAAAAACCTAAACTTTCAAAATTTTCATATCCTACAAAAAATGGATTTATTTTCAAACCTCTATTTAATATGTTAGCACTTGCTTTCTTAATACTTAAGTAAGGAAATGATTTACTATGTCTGCAACTGATTAAAAGAAACGGTGTGTAATTCAACCAACACTAGTAGATATAATAGATAATATATAATAGATATAATGTAATAGATATGAAAGTATAATAAAGGCAATGTGCCAGTAAAGTTTTGGTTTATGACAGGGCCCTAAACTGAGCAGAAGTTTCACCTTTTTTTCTCCCATCACTCCCAGCAGCACTGAGCGTTTTACCACACAAGACAGAAACTCATTACTGCTTACTTTTAAAAACAGTTGGTGAGCACACATTTTCTGTACACAGTTTTTACAATGTGCTCGTTTAAGACATCCCTTGTAAGACTGTACTTCATGGTTTGTTGAAAGAATTGATTGTCACTGAAGTCTCCAAAACATCCATCCAGCATTTCACAATGACTTCTTTTGATCCTTTCATTTCAATTAATCAAAACAGCCTTTCAAGGAGTAAACCAGCTTCCACCGGTTTATTGAAATCCCATTCCATAATCACCTCTTACCAAAAAAAAGGAGGTTCCAAATCCAAAAAAAAAATCACCTTACAATGAAAATACCTGTGCAGCACTTGCGTTGAAATTCTCTCTTAGATGGAGATGTAAAATTAAAAAAAAAAAAATACTCATTTTGTTTTGGTAGCACTGTATATCACAAATGCACGTGATGAGTCAAACATAATGATTTCTATGCAAAGGCTGCAACAGTGAGAAAATGAGCTAGGAGGATGTGGTTATTTTGATATTAAAACCTACACGTGCATTTTTGAATGCAATTTCAGATACAGCATGCCCTCAGGTTCTCAACTGCTAATCAGACAGGTAATTTGCTAGTGCATACATAAGGCTATTAACTAATACTGTAAGTGAAGTTGTTGAATAGATAACATTTTATTCTCTGTATCGTTTGCAACATTATAAGTCAAGCAAGCATGGAGTTGGCAGTTTCTTGGTAAGAACAATAGCTGTAAAAACTTTTGCAAGTAATATATCTGTCCTCTGAATAGCCTGACTGGACAGACAGTATTCATGGAACTTGGTACTATATTCCAAGTATGTAATTTAAATAAATTATTTCCATTATTAAGGAGTTCAATGACTGCTACATTTTTTCCAGGATATATTTTGCAGCCAAATCATCTAGCTATACAGATGTATGAGAGAGTTTTATACCACATCTCATAAATAAATACTGCATCTCAGTAGAGTGCTTGACTTGTACTCTTATTCGTATAGTCACTGTAAAACAAATAGGTCTTTTTGCCTGAGATAACTCTGTTAATGTAGTATCATGCAAGCTCATACCTAAGAAAGCCACCACAGGTTATTTGTCTTCAGTGCAGGCGAAATATACCGTGCAATTTTATAACAATTTCAAGACATGGTATCTTTTATTCAGAACAACTCACCTGTTTTTTGTTTTTTTTTTTTTTTTTCCTTTAAATTATGTGAAATAGAAATGTAAGTTGTTACCTACGGTATTAATTTCATGCAATATTAAGGCTTTACATTTCCAGATACTCCCTTCTTTTCTTTTTTTTTTGTTTTTTTTTTTTAATTTTTTATTTAAAATGATTCTCGACTAGCTTAAATGAATAATCAGAGGCGTTCCTGCTGCAGCGTATAGCCCTCCACAAAACAGAACGACAGCCTGAGATTGCCAGACAGAAGCTAAATTGTCTGCAAACATCACCTGTGGCTCGTTCCCTGTAACGGAGGCAGTGACCCCCCAGTACTTTCCACTTATTTTTCAATGGACCAGAGAGAATTACAAACGCACGTGCGTTTGGAACTGGCCTCTATCTCCAGGTGGCCGAGAACACAGAGACCGCTGTGACCCCCCGGGATGTCACCGCACTGCACAGCGGCAGCGATCACGGCTGTGCTTTGGGTGTAAAGGGAGCAGGGGGTCTGGGGAGGATGGCAAAGGACAGACACAATGTAATAGATTAGATTGGATCATGACTGAGCCGGACAGTGTAATTCTATCTGTTCTTCTTAACCACTATTTACTACAGGCTGACATCCCAAATCTCTAGGCCTTTTAAGAAGTATCATGACTACCTCTTAATTGTCCCCAGAAATCTTCCACCTCAGCAACCGAGGATGATAAAGCATCATCATAGTTAAATAGGATCAAAGGAGTGGGTATTTACTGCTTGTGTTTTTACAAGACCTAAATAGAGCTCTGTGGTTTCTTTCATCTTTAAAGTTGCTTAGCAACACAGCACCATCTGTGTTTTGCTGTTAGTTTGTTTTTTTTTTTTTTTTTCTTTTTTCCTTTTGTCATGGAGTCTTTAACGTTATTTCTGCTTCTTATAGAAGGAAAATTACACAACTGCAAGGAAAGTTCCAGTCACTACAGTTTCTTTACGTAATGGTTTTGTAGAGCTGTTGGACAAAAGTCATTAAAGCAGTTCCACAATGCAAGATACAAGAAGTCTTTATGTTTTCTGACAGTTACTGAGGTTGGTCCCTTTTGGAAGAAGACACCCTTCAGTTAGCAGGGTGTTCTCAAACAATGCTCTTTCCTTTATAGTAAAGCAAACAACTTTTTGCCTGCTGGCTGTTGTTGTGGTTAATAAATATTTCTTCACTATAGTAAAAAAAAAAAAAAAATAGGGAAGAGGATGTACTAGGGAGAAATAGCGTAGAGAAATGGGGTCTCCTGGGGACATGACAAAACATCCACACTACTGGAGAGATTTCAAGAGACAATTAAGCAAACTGGATACCCTGCTATGCACTTTGGGTTTTACAAGGCAGTGGAAGGAAGCCTGGGCAGACATACTGACCTCACCTGCCTTCCTGCAAACACAGAGGGGACTGCAGGCTCTTCCTCATACTGTCTGGTCTCATTTCAAATTTAAACAACACCCCCCCAAAAAAAAAAATCTTTTTCTTTTTTTTTTTTTTTTTTTTTTTTTTTTTTGTGTATGCCTATAGGTTTAAAACTTTTCATGTTCACCTTTTTGAAAGTGTAGCAAAAGAGAGTAAAATATGACCGAGAGGTCAGTCTGTTCTGCATGCAGGAAGGGGTATAAATGGAGGGGCAGTAGTCCTTTCCACCTGCACAAATGCAGATGCTGTGCCTCCCAGGGGCTGAGTGAAAGCTAAATCCAGGGGCACTGCGTGTTGGGCAGCCTACAGACACAAGAGAGAACTGCTCCCTGGGGATCATCCCCTTCCACCTCACTTAGTTTACTGCTTTTTCCTAATCCTGTGGGATATTGCTGCATGTCTCAGTGTGGGAAAGAGCAATTTGTACATCCCAGTTTGCAAAGTTTGCAAAAAATCTGGTTTCTGTGATGCTACATATACCTGTTATTCATAACAGCAATTCTGGACGAAACAAACAGTCAGCATAGTGTGGTGCAGAAGCACAGAAGGCAAATGAATGCTTCTCAGGGAAGTACAACAAACTCTAAGGATCAACCCGTGCTTAAGTCTGTAACTGACACTTTTAAGGTAGAAAAGCAACAGTTGCTTCCAAAGGGCAGTAGCACCCTCCCCTTGCTGGGTACAGAAGCAGCCTAGAGAGATCAAAGCATGTGGAGGGATGGTCTTCATCAGCCTCACAGGTGACTTTTATTGAATCAGAGTAATTTTTACCCCCCTGATTTAGGAAGTTACTGCAGGATAAATTTTCTCTGATCCTTTAAGTACATTCCTGTTTCCTTGTGGCCAAGTATGGCTGCAAGGTAAAAACAAATAGGAGAAAAAAGAAAAAAAAAAAAAAAAGCAATAATGAAGGGAAAAACAAGCAATAACTGGCTTTAGGGGATGCATAAAAGACAGTCTT